TTTTTTTGGCAACATTATTAAATTTTTTATATAATATTTCAAAACATTAAATTCAATAAACTAGATTTGTTTTTGTTCTAGGATAACATGTGGCATATAGGTCATATACCACATACGAATCTTTCAATGATTTATCATTACTTAATTAGTTTATTTTGCATTTTTATTTTATTTTTTTAATAATTATATCAAATTTCAATATTATTTCATTTGATAAAAATTTGATAATTTTGGTCAAGTCGCTCTATATATACTTTGACCATAAAGTGTACAAAAAATATATTATATTTAATTATAATGTAAATTTTGAAAAAATGTATCTATTTAAAATATTATTTTCATATATCAAGTTTTTATGACATTTAATTATTTAAAATTGTATTTAAAGTATTACATAGTTTTACCAAAAAATCCTAAAAGGGAGTATATAGATTAAAAATCTTAATATATTTTATTTGATTATTGTATTTATTTGGAGTTTATATGTTATACCATTTAAAAATATGTAACATACATAATTAGTTATATATCTAAAAAAGGTATAAAATTTATTAATCTTTTAAAAAAGAAATCCTGACGTTGTTTTCAATAAGGTATTTATCATTTTATCTTTTATTACTTCATTAAGGTAAAAATCACGGCTAGCCAAATTTATGCTGTTACACACACACACACACATATATACACACACGCGCACACACACACACATACACACACATATATATATGTATATATTTGTGTGTGTGTGTGTAGGTATATATGTATGTAAAAGATAGTTTAGGGGTTGTAGTATTGACACATGTCATACGTGACAAGTCAGTAAATGCCAACGCGTACAAACCTCAAACATTAAACGCCAACGTGTAGACCAATGTGTGCAGACACTAAGCATTGATGTTCGTCTTTCGCAATTCTCGCTTCAATAGTAACATGTACAGATGCCCAGCCGTCATATATCCCTAACGAACATCAAAACACCAAAATGAACATCAACCGGTACAATGCCAAAATGAACATTTAAAATCATTACAAAAAATGAATCTCTTCAACCACCAACATCAAATTAAAAAACCCCAAAATAGAATAATATCACTCTTCACATTTCACAAAACAAAAAGATACAATGTAGCCTTTCAAAATCCTACAAAACCAAAACATACACAACCCTTTAACACATGCCCAAGCGTAGCACGGAAGAAAATTAAATCATAAACCAAACTCTCCATTTTCAACCATCGCATCAATAACATTATGACAACGAGCCCTAATAACAAGCCCGTGCGTAGCACGGGGTAGAAAACTAGTATTAATGTATATTTCCCTTTCTTTAGGATTTTACTCCCTCCATCCATTATTTTCTTTCTCATTTTTTTGGATTGTCTATAAATTTCTTTCCCAATTTCTATTTTGGCAAAATACTTTTAATAGTGTAATTATACCCTTATTTTTTCTTTAGACTATTCACTTCATTCCATCATATCAAGTCCAATACATGAAAGTCTTTGTATTTTTTAACATCACTTAGGCTCTGTTCCATTCAACTTCTTTTTTCTATTTGATCTGATTTTTTGTAGTTCTGATCTGATATGATATAATTGGATCTGAATTTGATTTAAAATTCAAATCAATAATTTGTTTTGACTTTATAATAACATTTGAAAACTATAATGAAAATTCATACTCCGTATTATAATATAATCAATATTTTTTATTTTATGATTATTTTTTAATGAAATAAAATTAGTTAATTCATATATTAGAATAATCATTCATATTATAATGTAATAATATTTTTTATTTTATAATTATTTTTTTTGTGAAATAAGAATATTGACTTAATATTTTAATAATTAGTTCATATATACATTATAATAAATATTTAATTCATATATACATTAAAAACTAATTTAATTTAGATAATCAATATAGAGAAGAGATAGTATTTTTATTAAAATATCGCATCCTTATAAAATATCAACGTGTGCTTTGTATTACGAAACTTTTTTATGATGAATATAACACCATAGATATAATAGTTATTTCAGTTACACTAAAATATACTCCGTATATGAATATCAAATGTTAATTTTATTTAAGTCATGATCAAAGTTTATCAACTCGATGTAGTAAAAGATCAAAACTTTAGAAACTCAAATTACAGGTAGCAATAAAAATGTATTTTAAAAGTAGAACTAGATTGATATTGTCAATGCATTTTAATAATAATTTTCCCGACGTCTAATAATTAAAGATTACTTTCTCAATTTTCTATTTAACTTGTTTCTAAAATTTATTCTTTTTCATTTTTAATAATAATAATAATAATAATAATAATAATAATAATAATTCTTGTTTGGATCTGATATGATAGGATCTGGTCTGATTTGATTGGATCTGATCTGATTAGATCTGATCTGATTTTAATAAGAATAAGAAAAAAGTAGAAAAAATAAGTTGAACGGAACGAGATCTTAATCTTTATATCAAGTTAAAGGGAAGAATTTTTTTTTTTTTTTGAAAAATTAGGGGTATACCAAAAGTGTACCCCAAATGTACAACATCCTCTCCAATGCCACATATATTGCCATATTGGCAAATAAATTAAACAAGAAATAAATAAATAAAAATGAATGGTAGAAAAATGAATAGTGTACATTTGATGTATCCCTACCATCCTTTTTTTTTTGAATTGAGGAGTATTATATTATCCGAGATTTGGAAAATAATCAAATATCATTAGATACCCACGGGCCACTCCCTACCAGGTTACCACCACCACCACTGCGCTCCATATGCAAATTGGATTTATTTTTCCGTCGTGTAACTGGAGTAACATGAAAATGTAGTTATTAGTTATTATTCCTGATTGCTTAACGACACAATAATGGTGGCGTAGGGTACTCCACCCTCTAATGAAACATTTCCTGCTCTAGATCGGAAGCTGATAAGCGGACGCTCCCAATTGTGTTTAGAGCGTGAAGGTTAATCATCTCTTCTTCGATCCATCGCCCACCGGCCAGTCATCTTCTAATCTATTCAAGGTAGGCCGCCTAATCCGCTTTTTTCATCAATTCCCGTTCCGGGGTTTTTATTCTGCAATGATTAACATCCTAGTTTTTACATTTTGATTCGGTGAGCTTTCCCCTTTCTTCATTTTGATTAGGTTTTCGTTTCATCTGAATTTCACTTAGCATTGTTTATGTGAATTAGCTTCGAATATGACGAATTTCTTTGTTAATGGCTTAATGCCAGCTTTCACCAAACTCTGCATTAGTGTGCCAAGTCCTCGCGGATTTGTTTTTGGCCTAGTTTGTTTGATATGAGCTCTTATATTTTAAAAAAATGGAGTTTGGTGAGCTCTTATATTTAAGGAAGTGCCTCATACCAATGAAGTTTGGTTAACTATTATATTTAAGATCATTCACTATTCATTTTCTCTTGCGAGACAAACTCATAAGTGGAATTCTTAACAGTTATACGTTATTAATTTTTTCTGGAACATAAGGTTGGCAGTGATAGTAATTTTGTGAATTTGGTGAGGCAGAATGAGTCAGGTCTTCGAACAATATGAACGACAGTACTGTGAGCTTTCGTCTAACTTGTCGAAGAAGTGCACCGTAGCTAGTGGTCTTGATGGAGGTGTGAGTAATATCCTTTATCATTTTCTTTTTTCTGCCTCTCATTAATAGCAGTTTCTTCTTGGGGTTCTTTTCATGCATTGCGAAAGTTTTGATTTCTCAAGTCAAGGGTATTGTCCTTGTTTAATCAATAAGGGAATTAGGAAATGTATTTATGGAACTATTTCAGTAACAGATTAGCTAATGTTTGCCTACTCCAAGCCTCATCATGATTCAGATGTATGTTACAACTCATAGTTTTGCCCATTTATGCAGATCTGTTTTTTTCATCTTATTCTCTTGTGTTTTTTATAACTGTGGTTGTCTTGTCCTTTCATGCCTGAAGAACAAAAGAAGCAGAAAATTTCTGAAGTAAAATCTGGATTGGATGATGCTGAAGCTTTGGTAATGCAGAGAGTGAATTTTATCATATTATGGGTGATAAGTTTTGCTTATTCCTTTGTCTCCTAAATGATGCTACCTTCATCATTCTTTCATGCAGATTTGCAAAATGGATCTCGAGGCTAGGAGTTTACAACAAAATGTAAAGGCCACACTCCTTATAAAGTTGAGAGAATATAAAAATGATCTGAACAATTTGAAATCTGAGGTTAAAAGAATTACATCAGCTAATGTTAACCAAGCAGCAAGGGATGAATTGTTGGAATCTGGAATGGCAGATGCTAAGATGGTAATGTGGTATCCATTTGTCTCTATTGATTATGTATGACTTATGTTCATTGCCTTGAAACACTACCAGAAAAGGGTTTCAAGACAATGACCATAAGTAAGCGATATTATGGGACTAAAACAAATGCAAAACTTTGCTAAACTTCTTTGATTTATGGTGTGCCTTGCTCAATCTCAAGTTTTAACCTTGTTATCAAACCTACTATATGACAATCCAAAGCATTTATGACATAAGGATGACATTAGGTACATGTCAGTGCATTTGATTTGAGAGAACTTTAATAGGCATGTTACAAAAAAGAATTTTTACATGTTTGTATTGGTAGGATGTCAAGTGGGAAAACAATTTAAGGTTTCAACTATAGGTGGATTAATTATACTTAATTTTAATTAGGAAAAGTGCACATGAATTCTCTCAAGTTTGGATCATCTTACAAAAATACTCCTAGAACAAATTATTGCACCAAAATTTTATGTTGTTTCTTTGATGAGTTGGTTGTTTAGTCAACATCATGGTTTTGTCACCTCATTGATTCGTCTACATATTTGAAGCGTTTTTGTGACAAGAGTTGGGAGACGAGTTACCACAATTTTTTCACATCTAGTGTTGCTAAATAATAGTAGTATTCTCTCTCATACAGTTTTATTTTTTGAAACTCAGTGTAAAGCCAAAACAGAAAGAAAAACACTCCACCGTTTTAAATTACTCGTCTCATTGACTATTCAGAGTGCTACAAGTTAATTATATACTCCCTCTGTCCCACTATTTTTGGACATGAGAAAGTGACATTGAAATTAAGAAAAGTAAGAATGTTTGGTTGATATTGATATTAAAATGTAAGATAAAGTCAGAATAATTGTGAACGGTGAACCACACAAATATGACCAAATATGGTGGACAAACAAAAAGCGAAAAAGGGACAAAAGTAGTGGGACGGAGGGAGTAAAATTTTTAGTCTTACAAATTTTTATAAATTGAATAAAAATAACTGCACTCAACATTGTAAACCAGAATGTGACCAATAATTTGAAATGGAGGGAGTATTACAAATGAGTATGCTAGAGTTGTGATCATCTTACACTAACGTAACACTATCAAAAAACTTGGGCAGAAAAATGCTTTGAAAATGGGGCCCAATCGATCAGGTGGCATAGACGAAGTAGTCATCTATGCAAGTAAGCATAATCCTAGCCAAAGATAAACTTCATCATTCTAATAGCAGTTTTGTGATATTTATTATCTATTGAGAGTATTTATGTGCACTTTTTACTCTGGGAGAATTCTTGCAAGATAGCCTAAACATAAGAGTATTCTTGTGCCTTTTTTTCCTTTTACATATTAGTTTTATAAAATCTCACTTGTATGACAAGCATGTGTGGTCTTAGGTGAAGTTTGGAATTGTTGTGATTTTTATGGTACCCTAATCTTTTCTCAAAAAGATTGATTAGCATAAAATTCTGGTGTTTTAGATTGAAAGTTGCAACTATTATACAGTTTTAAAATCACAACAATCAAGAAATTCTTTTCAACCACAACTTTGTTTTCTGGAATATTGGTCATTGCTTGTCATTTAGCCGTTTAATATCAGTTTGATTGCAGCTCATTACCAAACACCTCTGCATTCATATCACTTTATATCATAAAGTAGCAAACAGATTCTCTTTCGCATTATAGCCCAACACTTATGATTCATAGTTCAACACTTTATAACGACAATACCAAAATAACTTTTGTTTTACTAACCTGTGTTGCATCCTTTGATCACGGGATAAAGCTTCTTCTACTAATTGGATTGAGAGGATGTCATGAAGTATCTTTGGTTATGTTTGACTTGAGTTTTGAGAGGTTTTGGAGGAGAAAAGGAAGAAGTTATAATTTTCCGTATAAAGTACACCCTCCTTCTCAAAAAGATTTTCCCACTTCCCTTTCGTGGTGCTCCTCGTTGAGCGATGCAAAGAATTAGTGGCGGTGGGTATAAGGTGGGAGTCTCCTTAGTCGCCCTGGAATCACTCAATGACAGGTTGGATTCGTGATGTCATTCCCTAGAATCCGAAGACTTTAGACTAATTCCTACTAGAGACAAGTTTCGGTATCTTGGTGTAGTCATCCATGCAAATGGGGAGATAGACGTGAATGTTATTCATCGTGTTAGAGCCGCTTGGAACCTTGTACAAAGTGAGAGCTAGCTTCAGGGGTCCTATGCGACAAGAACATATTGGCTAGGATGAAAACGTTCTATCGGTCCATAGTCTCGCTCTGCTTTGCCAAGTAGAGTGTTGGGTGGTTAAGAAAACCCACATTTTTCAACTTGCAGCGGCAGAGATGCAGATGCTGCGGTGAATGTGTGGACTACTGATGTTGGATGGGATTTGAAACAGGGTTATTCGGGGATGGGTGAGAGTGACACCTATGGATGATAAGTTGTGGGAAGCGAGGTTGAGGTGATTTGACAGCAAAGTGCAGAGGCCCCAAAGCGGAGATGCGAGAGACTTACATTTGAGGGGGGTGGAAGAGGTAGATCTAGGAAGAGTTGGAAGGAAGTGATTAGACAGACTTAATATTTCTAGCATTTACCAAGGATGTAACCTTACATAAGAGCATCTGGAGATCTAGGACTATGATAGTTGAGTGGTCATCTGTGTCTTGGTGGTAATTTTGGCCTTGTCTTTGTGTGCATTTTAAACATTCACGAAGATAGAGGTCATTTTTGTAGACTTCTCTCTTTCCGAGGGAAGCCGACCTACAAGGCTGTCAGACCAGGGTGTTGCTTTCCAAGTCGGTTTCCATTTAAAACTTAATCCTATGGGGTTTAAATTGTGCTTGGGGTCTAGTTGCTAGAGGTAGTTTGTGTGCTTTTGTTTCTCTGCACTTCTTTGCTGTTAGCTCTTTGCTTCTTTGTTTGTGCTCTGTGCCTTCTTTGTTGGTTTACGTTGGTTGTGCTCAAGTTGGGAGTCTAGTCTCTCTACTTTCGAGTAGGGGTCTGTGTACACATACCCTCCCGACCCTACTTTTTGAGGAATTTTACTGGGGTTGTTTTTGTTGCTGAACGGATTCGTAACACGGTCGTCCCAAAATCAACCTTCTCCTATTAGGCTTATTACCATTTCATTTTAAAGAAAGGAACATATGGTTCACAACATTTCTCTCATCTAAATACGGAGTAGTTTTTTAATCACATATTTTCCACCTTTCTAACACTTCTCGTAAACTCTGGGAAGTCAAAATGGGATATCATTTTTGGGACATAGGGTATACTGGTTTGACTTGCTAATATTTGAAAACAATAGATACAAAATTTTAGATTAATATAGGCTCAACATAATAGTCATTCATTTACTCCCATCTACTCTGTGTTTCTTTTGATCTTTTCATAGTATGAAGGTTCTTACACTATGCTATTTATATAGGTATCAACTGACCAAAGGCAAAGGCTGATGATGTCAACCGAGAGATTAAATCAGTCTAGCGATAGGATTAGAGAAGGCCGAAAAGTGATGTTGGAAACCGAAGAGCTCGGTGTTTCAATTCTTCATGATTTGCATCAGCAACGCCAGTCTCTTCTTCATGCTCATAACACAGTACGACTAATATGCAGCTCTGCCTGAGCTCTATCTAGTTGTTTTTAATAATTCTTTATATCTGAAAGAAGAATGTCGTCATACCAACTCCAATCTTTTCATGGAAACTGGTTTAGCTAAATGCCGGTCTAGATTGATTTGGAACATTTGAAAAGTCCTTCCAAATGAAAACGGATTGTTCATTTAATTACTCTACCTACCATGGGTTCAGTGTGTAGATGCATTTTTTTCAGGTGTGTAAATATCAAGGTGAAACCAATTAACAACCATTTCCTTTTTTACCCTTTGTGCAGCTCCACGGAGTGGATGACAATATTAGCAGGAGCAAGAAGATACTGACTAACATGTCAAGAAGGATGAACAGGAACAAATGGATCATCGGATCAATTGTCGCTGTCTTAGTGATCGCAATCATATTGATTCTCTACTTCAAGTTGGCACATTAGCTGAAAACCCCCAGGTTTCTGTATCTACACCCCATGTTTCTGTGTTTTTTTAAAAGTTAAAACTGAAAAGCACGCATTTTGGATCATCTGTTCTCATCTCTCTGACTTCTGGCTGTTATTTCAGTGTGGGCTCTTTCCATCTTTGTTTCCTAATTGTATGTTGTACTTAAAGCCTCAAACTGCAGCTTTATATATAGCTTGTTTCATTTGTTAATGAATAGATGATTGACAGAAAACTCTTTCCACATAATGAGGTAAAAATAATTACGGATCGGATTAGAGATAACTCAAACGACCCTTTGTGGTACCTCATAAGTTTAGTAGTCGCCCGCAGTCTAAATAGCACACTGTATCCTCTTCTAGTCAGAAAATTCTTGCACAAACGCTCCCTCTGTTATCTTTTATGTCAATTTTAACTTAGGTTGAGACTTACACAACCAAAGTGCAGATGTAACTTTTTTTAACCTCTTTAAGCTTGAAAATGACTATCTAACTCATAGTTTTACCTTATCCAATCCAAGACTTAGGTTGCGTTCTCTTAAGTTTATTTTTAATTATTATTTATTTTTATTGGAATCAAAATAGATCTAATCAGATCTTATTATTATTAATTTAACAATATTTATTTTCCAACAATTTTCTAGTGTGATCTGATCAGAATGATTTTTGATGTTATCTAATTTGATTCCAATAAAAATAAGTATAACAACAATAATCCAGTTGGATTCCACGAAAGTAGGGTCTCAGGAGGGTGTGCAATAAAAGTAAGTAATAAGTAAAAAAATAAGATGAAAAGAACTCAACATTAGTCTTTGGATTGTAGAAAATGAAATAATGGGTTAGATTAGATGATCATTTTTCATTTTAAAAAAGAGTAAAAATAAATTCCATTCGCAATATGGTTGTGTACTTCTGTGTCTCAACTTTGGTTGAAAATCTTGAAATGGATTCTTTCTATTAAAAAAAAGTGAGCTTAGGAGTGGGGTGGATGATTTGTCAAAATATGAGTGTGGGGACAGAGGATCCCAACCCATTTTGGTTGAGGAGAAGTCGGGGCGAGGGTTTGTAGGGGTGTTTGCGGGGTAGTAAATACTTCACGATCCAATGAAATACCGTAAAACCTCTATATAGACTGATGTCATCTATCTTATGACATTAGAGCTCAATATGAATGAAAGACAATGAAAATTAACTGGGAATTGGTGGGACAATATTAATTAAGTAAATAATATAACATGGACTTGACTTTATATATGATATTAAAAACGAAATACAGGGCAGTAGTACTTATAGAATAGATAACGACACAACATATATAGAACGTATAGTAACATCAGGTCGTTCCATATTTATTTATGCATAATACACCCTTAGGTTTCTCTTACGAAACCGCAAGTATAGTAATATATACTCCGTATCTTTTAAATTATAATAAAATGAGCTAGCTAGGTAGCTAACTGGCTGGATCTTTATATGCTCCATATATAATATATTCCAAGTATTGCTTGCTTATTTATCTGAAAAGGAAATCAATAGAGTGTTAATTGAGACCAGTAGTAGTAATATTTGAACCCCCCGGGAGTAGAAAAAGTTCACTATGATCACTCGGGTTTGAATCCCAGTGGAGGTGTGTGTGTGTGTATACACACACATATACATATACATATACATATAAACACACACATAAATAAATGAATGAACATACCTCGCATAACATTAGTTATTATAATTAAAGACCATGTCTCGGCGGATCATGATGATCAGGACCTCCGGGGACTTGTCTATTTATTTCCTGCAGATATCTTCTTTTAGATATATCAATGATCTCAGAGGGAATGAATGCCCTTAGATTCTCCCGGGCGTCATCGCCATCTTCAACCACAATAACAGTAGTACTGTCGTTGTCATTTTTGTAAAGATCGTTGTTGTTGTTGTTGCTGTTGAGAATGCGCGCTTGAGAGAGCAAGAGAAAACCACGGTTTTGATGCTTGGATTTGCGCCCATCTTCAACTGATATACTACGATCGCTAGTAGCTAGTTGGAATGTGTGTGTGTGTAAAATTATTTATTTATTCAACAGCATCATTATATACGGAATATATTACAACATTATATTACGTACACAAGAAGTCAATATAAGCCAATATATGCAAATCCCATTTTCGACGATTAAAATTGAAGTTCCGAGGACAATGGCTTGGCATAGTACGTGGAAGTGAAAGTGAAAGTGAATTCCACACATTTCATTTTCGACGGATGACAATTCAAGTACTCCATAAAGCTTTTTTTTTGGTGAAGGCCTATTCCATAAACCACTTAAAAACCCGTCACTACTACAAAAAAGATCTTGTAAATCAGTTATTTTTAGCCTTTTAAATCGGTTTTGAACCGATGCAAAAGCCAGCGATGCAAATGCTTAGGTTACTTTTTGCATCAGTTGTTAAATCGATGCAAACGCTTCTTTCCAGAATTGGCTCCAATTCTGGAAAGAGGCATTTGCATCGGTTATTTGGTAATAACCGATGCAAATGCTTATTCTTTTGCATCGGTTATTACCAAATAACCGATGCAAAAGTCTCTTCCCAGAAATGGCGCCAATTCTGGGAAGAGGTTTTTGCATCGGTTATTACCTGATAACCGATTTAAATGATAAATTTTTTCAACAAATCTGGCACAGAGGTAACATTGGTGCAATATTTTTAAAGGTTCTAGGGGCATTATTGGCGTAACTTTTTTAAGTCCAAGAAGAACCTGTGCGATTTTTGAAAACTTCAAGAGTAAATTGTGCAAAAAATTATTAATATTTAATTAACATAGGAACAACATCATAAGATTTCATTGATTTAAATAAAGTAAATATCGATTCAAAACAACAAACTTAAAAATAACAATACTAGGAAAGAACATACGGAGTAAAAGTTTAGTTTTTAAGTGTGTAAGATTTCTTTTGAGTTTAGTTTAGTTTTTACGTATAAAAAAGAAATGGAATTTTTTTACGATAGAGAGAGATTTTTTTTACGTATAAAACTAGTATCACACTCGTGCGTTGCAGGGATCATTTTTATATTATTAAATTCAAATCATTTTTCAATGATAAAAAATGAGATGTAATAGAATATAGAGATTATATTATTTTAAGGTACAAAACATAGTTTTAGGAACCGAACCGGTGATCGAACCGGTCAAGGCACTGGTTCACTGGTTTACTGGTCGAACCAGTGGTTCGAGTGGTTCAACCAGTGGTTCAAACATTTTTAATAAATAAATAAATAAATAAATAAATAAAAATATAGATACATACATATATATATGTTAAAAATTTTACAAAATAAGAGATTGACAAAAATATTTTATTTTATTAAATAATTAATGAAAACATATAAATAAAGAAAAGTTATCCAGAGTAAAAGAAGAAAATGGTAACTAAAATTAAGACAGATAGAGCATTTTGTTAGAAGCAAAGAATTGTGTACCATAGTTTAAATTCATGTTTGAAAATAATGTTTTGAATTACCATTATGTATGTATATACATACATATATACATACATACATATATGTATATATATACGTTGTGGAATTGAATTACAAAAAACTAATATATAAGTAAATAAAATAACATTTTCTCTTTTTATAAATAAAGAATTGTTGTTTGACTAAATTTATAATTTAACTTAATTTACTTGATTTGTGTCATTAAATAAAAAATAAAATTTATTTATTTAAAAAAACTTATAAATAAAAAGTCATTTGAATTTTTTTTAAAACTTTTACCTATAATTTATATATATATATATATATATATATATATATATATATATGTGCGATATGCACTCCATATCAATTATTTCAATGGGTTTGAATTTTAGTTTAAAAAAACTATAAATACTTAAAAAAGAATTTGATAAGAAAATTTATTCAAAGAATATAGAAAACGAAAAGCAGAGAGCAAACACAAAGTAATGTGGCGGAGATGGTCTCTACAATGCCTGTCCATCCAAGCAGTCCTGGGTTCGAATCCTTGGACATTTGTTTTTTAAAAATCTCAAAAAGAAAAAGAAAAAGAAAACTGGTTCCGGTGTAAAACCGGCCGGTTTTCTCCGGATTTAACCGGTTTCTATCGGTTCTATGCAGGATGCGGTCTGATTGCATGGACCGGACCGGCTAGGCGTCCGGTTCACCGGTTCCCGGTCCAGACCGGCCGGTCCGGTCTGATTTTTAAAACTATGGTACAAAACATCATTGTTTTACAAATTTCAAAAGACTTTTTTTATAAATTACATTATGTAGAAAGGTTAATTTCATTTGATTGAATATTTGGGAGTACATGTCTATATATACACAAGGATTCCTAATCCTATAAAAATAGGAGACAATAATAGGAAACAATATATTTATATTAAATATAGAATATATATTTAACATGCTCCTGGCTACGTCGGATGAGGAGGAGGCCTGATACCCAGATTGGACTTAAACTCGAAGAAGAGTAGTGAAGGTAGTCCTTTGGTGAAGATGTCAGCATACTGTGAAGAAGAGGGCACGTGAAGGACCCGGATGTGGCCGAGTGCTACTTTGTCTCGCACAAAGTGTATGTCGACTTCAACGTGCTTGGTGCGCGGGTGCTGAACCGGGTTCGATGAGAGATAGACGGCGCTGACGTTGTCGCAGAAGACGAAGGTGGCGCGTCGTAGTGGTTACTGGAGCAAAATAAGAAGATTCTGGACCCAAGATGTCTCAGCAACTGCATTTGCCACAACCCGATATTCTGCCTCTGCACTGGAGCGGGAAGTGGTAGCCTGGCGTTTTGGAGACCATGAAATCAGGTTGTTTCCTAGAAAAATACAGTACCCGGAAGTAGAACGTCTGGTGTCGGGACAGCTAGCCCAATCAGCATCAGAATAAGCCTGGAGATAGTCTGTTGAGGAGCGAGTCAGATAGATGTCGTGAGTGGCGGTGCCGCTGAGATAACGGAGAACTCGCTTCATGGCCGTGAGGTGGGAGTCGCGTGGCGCATGAAGGTGGAGGCAGAGCTGCTGAACGGCATAAGTGATGTCAGGCTGGGTGAATGTGAGATACTGTAGGGCACCAACTATGGACTTGTAAAGAGAAGGAGGAAGAAAGCTTTGCCTTTGTCTCGACTGGAGTAGATATGGGGAGACAAGAGACCATCCCTGCCCTCTCAAGGATGTCATGAGTGAACTGCGTCTGATGAAGGAAGAGGCCCTGAGCAGTGCGATGAACATTAATGCCGAGGAAAAAGTGCAGATCACCCATGTC